CCCCACACCCCACACCCTACACCCACACCCACACCCACACCCACACCCACACCCACACCCACACCCACACCCACACCCACACCCACACCCACACCCACACCCAGACCCAGACCCACACCCACAACCACACCCAGACCCACACACACACCCACACCCACACCACACACCCACACCCTGAAGATAGTGACGTCCTATGGTTGGTTTTATTGTGATTCGTTTTTGTAGAGCCCCTTGCGGCATGTGTGTGTTGCTTTCTAAAGAAGAGTCGTTGAAACAGTGACCGTTGCTTATTTAGGTTGTTCTTTGTAAATTGTTGGATGTATTTCTCAATTTCAGTAGATTAGGTTATGCTGTACCTCTCCTGTATTGTGATGACGAGTCATCTTCTTTCCATGGAATCCCGAAATCCCCATTCGTGGAAAAAGTTGTCAGTCTTTTCTTTTCAAAATTCAGTTTGAATTGTAAATGTCCATAGACTCGTAATTTAATAATATTTTAAAATTTTCTTATGAAAAAATACCAAAAACAAAATGGTTGTTATCAAGCGAATACACTGATAAAATTTTTATAAATTTAGACAAATGGTGCTAGGAAAAAGATTTGAATGATTTTACTAGCATCGCTTTTTTTCGTGTGACAAGTTCCGAAGTCTGGCAGGGACCGAAATTTTAATACTTCAACGAGAGCACTTGGAGATTCAGCTTCAGATTCTTACCAGATACAATCCGAATCCTTTAGAGATTTGCTTTCTTTTTCTGAGGAAACGAGGAAATCTTGAAAAATTGTGTAATCACGATATTTCAAGATCCTGAGTAGATTACCATAGTGTTTTTTAATCAGGAATCGTCCAGAAAACTGATAGTTCGTGAAAAACCCGTGTAACAACGCAATTTCAGCACAATGACACGAGTCAAAACACGATTCAATCAGAACCTTTAGTAATAGATGACCGCTTTTGAACCGAGAATGATTCCGGAGACAATATATTGTTCTGGGTGTGAATGCGGGTTCACCAGACGTAGACTAACAGTCTCATTCAGTGAGTCATCTTTCTGTTGAACTGTCGTTGTGATGCTTTTCAAATTCAGCTGCAATAGTTAATCGAATCGTTTCACCAGGAACCCGATTATATGTTGTCTGATCATTTTAGATTGTTAGAGAATTCTCTCTTTGGTTTCTGTAAGGATCCTATACAAGATCTTGATCGAATTCTGAGAGAATCCTGTATTCATCATTTAGAAAAAATCTGGGCAGCAGCACGAAGAAAGCCTGGAAACAGGAGTTATCAGAAACTGAGGCAACATCTGGAAAAAAATTTGGTAAGATCCTTCGAGATTCAGGATTTCTCAAGGGATGAATGCAAATGAGATTAGGGTTACGTCTATATTCGTCAAGTTTATCGACTCGGGTGGGTGTGGGTGTGGATGTTGGGTGGGAGCGGACACCCACACCCAGCCTAGCCAAACTAAAACTTAATTAAGGAACGTGAATGGTCTGTTCAGACTTAAATCATGTTTTTGAGATGATTTAATCCTTAATTCAGTTTTAATTTGTCTAGTCTGTTCGACCCCTAAGAGAGATAAATAAGTATATAGGTATATAGGTCCACACAAGTGAGCCAACCAAATGAAAGGTCCATATTTTATAACGCTCAAGTTAAGTTACACTCGCACGCTACACACAAATGAGCGTGTAGCTTATTCTAACGTGTTTGAAGCAGTAAAATTGCTTTCCATTTTTTATTCTCATTTATCCAGAAATTGTTCGACTTTGACATGTGTTGAAAAAAAATGAATATTTCTTCATCTGTAAGTTGAGTTGCAAGATATGTTTTGAAAATAGGTTGCTTATGAAAATACAGTAAATGTTCAAGTCAGATAGATTAGATATTGTGTTCAAATCGATTGATAATTGTTTTCTTATCTTTACATACTCAAAACTAAACTATGAACCAAATAAAATCTTGATTTGAGGGTGTGGGGTGTGGGTGTCAAGTGTTTCTTAAGGCACACCCACACCCACACCCACACACCCACGCCCACACCCACACAGACACCCACACACACCCACACCCACACCAACACACCCACACCGACACCCACACCCACCGACACCCACACCCACCGACACCCACACCAACACCCACACCCACACGCACATCCACACCCACATCCACATGCACACCCACATCCATACCCCACACCCACCCACACCCACACCCTTCTCAAGGAAGAACATGGATATGAGTGTAATTTTTCTCTTGATTCAAGCCAAACCTAGACAGACACCACACCCACACTCCCACCTACACCTGAAAAATATTTTTACTTGAAGTTTCAATTGCCTGCAACTTATCAGCATTCGTAACTATATTAATGAATATATTTCATCTTTGTCTTCTTTTCTACTAAGTAGTTTATATTTCAGCTATATAGACATCTTTAGAGTCAAAAGTTCTGCTTATCGATCGATGCAATATGTTTCAGGATATGCGATTTACCATCATTGTAGTTTTATGTTTCTCATTGAGAATGCAAAAATAACTTTCCATTGATTCGAATCTTCTAAATAAAAAAAAAGAAAAATATACTATTAATTCCTCATATTTGGATATTGAGAATTTCGATTCCAGCCGCGGCCTCTTCCGTAACATTGTCTGTTTTGTTGTTGTTGATTTTTGTGGGCAGATGGGTTATTACGATTAGAGTTCGAAGGTTCATCATTTGATCGTGCAGCTTGTGGCATTGAATTTCTCTTATTATCGCGGGATGCCGTCGATTGTCGTTGTCCTTGATTTTGCTGATGATCAGCAGCAGCATTTTCGGTCATTTCATTGTTGTTATGAGCTGAATTCGTTGCTGATGGCGAAGTAACTGTACATCGGTAACTATTTATCATTCTTTTTACCGCATTTAAGGAGCTACTCCTAAGAAAAAAGTAATATTCTCTAACAAAACGAAGCATTACAAGGTATCCTACCAATTGATAATAGTTCCCAAAGCGATTTTTTCCGAATCGAGACAATTTTCTATAATAACAATGAAGTATGCTTCATGTTCTCGTCTTCGAGCATCATTTGCAATAGCTTGACATGTTTCGAATTCATTTTGAGAAATATGAAATTGTGTATGTATTTTATCAAATGATCCACTTGTACCCTTAACTTCGAAATAACATGTCTTAGTTGTTGATCCAGTTCCTTGCACAAAGTGTTCCTGTGTATCATGTAATTCAATATCATAACCCACCGAATCATCCACATTACGTCTATATTGCGGATACACGACGAGACGGTTTGAAGACCGCCAATTTTTAGTTGGTGTTACGTCGACTGTACCGTATAGCTTTTGTAGATAGACAAAGAAGAAGTGTTCAGCATTATGACCAATGAGAATATTTTCGGTGCTATCGACAATTGTTGAATCCATCCAATTACTTGATGATACTTCATTTTTGCACCGATGATTTTGTGTTTGGACTCGATTTCGATAGATTCGATCTTCACCAATTCGATCTGCAGCAGTCGTAGCAAATATATTCTCTTCAGGATCACGTTCGACAGTGCAATTCCTTCCTATAGAGACAGTAATCGATTCAATCAAGTGATGCTCAGTAGGAAAAACGAGATCCAAATATGAATAAATTGAAAAGCTTGTATCAGCCACAGTTGAAATTAATTCGGATCGAAATGCATTGCATTCAGTAATCTTTTGCCGAGCGATTGATTTGGCTTCTTCAAATGGTATATGTCTTCGCTTATGTAGTAAAGTAGTTAGAGCAGACGTCGCTATGATTGCTCTCGATGTATCACTTTTAGCATTACCAGTACAAAGCAGAACAGTTTTATTAAACACCCAGAAAGGATAATTCGTTTCCATGTCGTATTTATCGATTTCCTGGTTATTTTCATCATCGATCGAATCAATAGCACACGTATCGCAGAGATACAAATCTGTATCTGCATATTTTGCAATAGCTACTTCGAGTTGTCTATCACCCAGAGCATTCTGAAAGATTTGTGTCAATTGTTCAAGACGAAATTCCAAATTATGATTTATATGCGTCCATTTAACTTTTCCACGCCGTTCGACATAATCTATCTCGAATGCAGCCAAGACCAACGGACATGTTCGAGTAATGACTGGTGAAACAAAATAACGTTTACCAAAATCTCTGGATAAATTTTGAATGATTTTCGTTTCTAAACATGCATAAATAATATGATCGGACTTCGTTGAAATAAGCTTTCGATCAATGGTGAGAAGAAATGTCGTTATATGCTGATCCTGTATACCAGTTATTTTTTTCAATTGTATTGATAGTTTATTACAACTAAAAGAGAAACGCCATTCAAGATCTTCTCGGCTACCACATGGTGCTGTCTGATGTTTGTTCGTGACAATGGCTTGATATAAATCAGTATCAGCGCCATGCTCAGTAACACATATTATGATTAAACTTTCAAAATATTGAAATAGAGATATCATATTTTCAATTCCATTCTCGGTCAGAATTGTTTCACCATCACCCAAATCATAGAAATTATTTTTATCATAATGTGCGGAATAAATTGTCGAATACATGTCTGATATACTCACTACACATTGACAACCTAACATACGAAAAAGATCCTTGAACTGCCAATATATTTGATTGATCGATGGTGAGATTATTTGTAATTTGCGATATTTACAAACTAATAAAATAGCTTGACGATGTTGATTATTATCAGACATGACTAAGAGGTTTCTTAATGAATAGAATTGGTTTTGATCTGGGAGGTATAAACGACACGATGAGAGTAGACCAGTAGGATCGATTGTATCATATTGATGACGGACGTATAATTGTAAATGTCCTAACCATTGAATGTATAAATCAATATTAGTATTCTTTTCGTTGCTTAACAATTGCAGAATTGTTACACATGTGCGTAGGTCATACTCAGCACAAACACCGAATTTGCTAGCTAATGAACGGCAGTAGGATGGGACAGTAATGTGAGGTAATGATGGTAAATCAGGAACCATAGTTTCATCAAAAGTAGCTGATATTGGACTGATCTGTTGTTCAGTATTGGACTCACTTACGATAGGAAACTGATGAAGACATGCTTGAGTGGTTTGTGTTTGAGCCAAGAGGATTGATTCACTTAATCGAGTCCATTTCTCATCTGTTAGCATAGTAAACGACGGTAACAGAGGTAATTGATCGACTGTATAGTCTTTAGCAAGTTGAATAGATGGTCGATGGCAATTCATTTCAAGAAAAAAATATTCCCATTGAAGATGATTTATTAGTTGGCTCTCATGTGTGTCATAGTAAGGATGATGAATAAACGGTGATGTTGCCCGTGGTATGAATGATCGAATATCTACACCGAATAGTGTCGGTAAAATTGTATTCTGAATCAAGGTAATACTCAATGTTCCATTGATAGGCACTAGAAGTGGAGTTGATTTGTCAAATCTATCAAGACGAGATCGTAAATAAAATAAATCTTGCCACAATTCATTGATAAGTTCTGTGTCCACAGAGATTATTTTCAATGAACGAGCTAACTGTAAATGATGATGAAGAATAATTTCAATCAATCGTTTTTCTGTCAAAAGTTGTGCTTTATTTGAATTGAGAAGGGCATTTCTTTCATGTTGCGATGTACATCGTAAAAGAGTTATTTGCCGTTTCCACATTCGAATGGATAGATCATCATTTATAAAAAGAAGTAAAGACGTATCATTCATTCTTGGCAAATATTGTCTTTTGGAACCATATTGAAAGATAAATATTGGTTTCAGTAGCATTGTAGCTGATATTTCTGGTGTCATCGCTCTCAATAGATGATGGAAGAATTGAGTCCACCAACGTTCATCTTGTTTTTGTGTCCATAATCGAAACTCATGACGAAATTCATTCGTTGGATCATCACAATTTGGAAAACACTCAAGCACATCTTTGATAGAAACCGATTGAATTTGAAATGACTTTAAGCGTTTCTGTGTCAAGAAACCATCGCTGGAATCGATTACTTGAATATTTGCACAATTATATAACTGTTCATTAGATATCAGCGAAGTTAATTCTGAATTGACATGACGAATCAGCTTCCCTAAATATGATCATGGATTATATTGAATCATGTGCTTGAGATGTACATGCTCACCTGTTTTAATATCAAATAGTACCGAAAGATATTTAGTAATTAGTGCATTGATACGATCTATCATAACGAGCCACCATGACGAATGTTTGACTTGATGAGTATCGGATGATGGGCAGTATCGACTAATATCTTTTCTCAAATCGGAATCATTTAGTATCAGATAGACGAAAAGAACTGCTAGATTATCACGAAGATAAGCATTAAATTGAACATTTTCACGAACATTTTCTCGACTTGTGACCAAGTGAAAATCAGCATTGAACATGAAATTGAATCCAAGATCACAAACCGGCAAGCCAGTGTACACATTTCTTGTTAAATAATAATCCTTTTCACAAGGAAATGCCATAATAAGTAATGTTGTTGGAGTTCGTCGTTGTTCAATTGAACTTGGTACATCTACATTACATGCATACACTCGAAAAGTGTTATAGCCTGTTAAGGTACATAGTTGATTTATCGATCCAGTTAAGTTCATAAAATTACAATTTTCAAATATCACATTGGGTTGAATGTCTAATTTTGTTGGACCAATGGCTTGTTTTTCAATGATGATAATTTTCTCTTCTCGTCGATCTACGATTTCAAGTTTTTTTAGCTGTCTCATGTTGAGTAAAATGCAAGGATCTACCGCTCTAGCTACATCATTAAGAAACTGATTAGCAGCTGGTGTATGCGCTTGCAATTTAAGTGGTAAATAGAGATGGGTATTTTGATTATTAGTAGAAATCTGACTAGAAATACATTCGGGGATATTCTCGACCCATAATGGGGTAATGTAGGACATGGCATCAACACCTGGTACCTTGAAATAAAATTTCCAAGCGTGTGAAATCAGCATCGGTTGATCAGAAGCAGCAAAGACTGATTTGAATCCAACACCTTTTTCACCAATATGCTTCTGTTCAATGTTTTTCGTACTAACAGCCAAACTACAAATAGCTAAAACATCTGTTGCTCGAAGACCTTGTTCATTATTGGACAAAAGAATATAATCATGATTAAGTTCAATACGTAAACATGGAACAATAGTACAATCATAAGTATTATCTTCAGCATTCTATTAAAACGAGACGAATCAATTAAAAAAGAAAAGGATGAAGTATTATGCACTAACTTGGATCAATTCATGGAGAAAATGCACTGATGAGCTGTAAAGATCAGAGCCAAGATGTTTCAGTGATCCACATATGGACTTTCGCATATCATGATCGTCGAATGTTGTTCGTCTTCGATATATTTCTCGAATACATTGTTCGGCTTGTTTGGCAGTAATGCCATGAGGAGATACGTTTTGTAATTGACTGATTATATCTTCTTGATCATAGATATTCTCCTTGGCTGAAAAATGACTTAAAATATTTGGTGAGATAGTGGCGACTGTTGGCGTTCCTGACTGAAGACGATGAATGTTCTGATTTAGCTGCAAATTTTCTTTTCTTAATCTGTCTTGTTCCAGTTGAGTACGTTGCAGTTCACTTCTTAACTGTGCCAATTCTTCGTTCACTGATTGATGTGCTTGCTTGAGTTGATCATAATTATGTTTTAATTGTAAGGTGTCGATCTTCTTCCATTCTGTTTCGAACAAATTTTGTATGTGTTCTTGTTGTATTAATTCTTCATCTAGCGAAATTGACGTTTGAAATTGTTGATACAAATTGTAATATGATGAAATTAAATCTTCAGTAAGAGATAAAGACTCAGATGGATTAGTAACAGACTCGGATGTAGTTACGCTGGATGTCTCACTTTCGTCTTCATCGTCAGCGTTATTATCGCTCGACTCAGATTGTTTGTATTTGGATTGAATCAGCTTCGTATAGAAACGAATGCATGTATCTATGTGCTCGATTTCATAAGCACCGCTTCTCAATAAGATTAGAATAGCTCTTGGAATCGCTAATAGTAACTGATTCTCTTTCAGCAGAGTAGAACTTATGGAAGATGGGCTGTATAAAAGAATCGGTGTAAGAAGGGCGCATAGGTCACTTACAAGCAACACACTCAAATGATATCCACTTGATCGTCGAAACCAACAAGTCATACGAGAATTAGTAAGGACATCAATCGTTTCAGCAATGTGATGTATGTCATCTTCTGTCACTTGCTGGCAATGGTCCGCTGCACCATAGAATAAAGAAGCAAGACGTCGCATATAGTTTCGTTCAAGTAAGATGCCAGTGTGTCGAAAACACTGTCTTTCTATAATTTTTATGGGTGAGTCTTCCGTAGTCGATCTAATCATAGAATATTGGTGCCGAGTCAGAAAAGACAATCAAACTCACTCAGAATCTATTTCGTGCTCCGATTTTTGTGTCCAGAGAGTTTGTAAGTGTGTGTATGGTGACAGAAGCCATTTGATTGCATCTAAAATTTTTCTTGATGCTAATGGATCATGTTTTAAGTAAGCAATAGCATATTTATGTTCATTTAGATCAGCATCCAAAATCATTGAACATAGTCGGAGACCACCTATAGTAAGAGCATAGTGCCGTTGAGTAACAAGTAACATAGACAATGTGTATATTTCAGGTGTATTATTAAATAATTCATGACGAAAAATAAAATGACAACTTAATCGGCAAATAGTCAGAGTGATTGAATATATAAGTGGTACTGACGCATCCTGATAGTTTTCAAGTAATCGAAGAGCGTAATGAATCATTTGTGCAGTGATTGTATTGGAATTTCTAGCATCAGTGGATCGAACACCGCACATTAATTGTCGAAAGTAAGGTCGTCTTTCTTCTACACTCATAAGTTCGAATCCATCGAGCACCAACCGAACTACCCGACGAACAGTATCTTCAGCTGTGCTGGGTTCTCGTAGATTACTAAGAAGCAGTTTTAATAGATCAGCAGCACTACGCTGATAGTCTTTCTGTAAATTACCTCTTACAGCACGTATATCACGTACTGTTCGACGGCGAGGTTGTAATAATTTGGACATATTAGAACGAAGTCGAGCATGAATAGCGCGGTGTTGAGATGTTTGATTTCGAAAGAGGTCTTCTAGTAAGCCTCGCAACTTTTTATCTGTTAATTCCTCGTTTTCTTCTACAAGTAATGTGTTCTGTTGGAGACGAGTTGAAGAATGCAACAAAGAGAAAAATCGTTTAATGCGTTCACTGTATTCAGGGTAAGCTTTTGTGCGATATTCTTCAATAGATTCAGTAAGGGATAGCCAATTGATAAACAGTCGTTGTTCGTTGACCAGTAAACAAAGAACCGCGAAACTGAAATTAACTAATGAAAGATTCTCATCTTTTAATTGAAGAAGCACATTAAGTAATGCTGGCTCTAAACATACAGATCCATTCATCATAATCCAACTGGCAGGTTCAGCTATTTTATCTTTAGTTTGTACATCTTCGTCAGCTTTTAGTTCAAGTAAATTTAGAATATCTTTTTTAAATATTTGTAATTGAGCAGAATCCAATACATCACTTATACCAATCGGAAAAACTTCGAGTCCATGGCAACATTTCTCTGTCGAGAGTGATTTGGATGGATCCACAACTTCTTCATGGGTTTGATGATTGAACAGCTGATCACTGATATTCATCAAAGAATCATAATTGGTGTAATTGATATCCTGCACTGGCGAATTTATTCCTGAAGAATCTCTGATAAGATGTTTGACTCGTTGATACACCATACTGTTCGATGAACCCGCGATAATTATAAAATTGATTCGTGCTAAAGGTTTGCCGAAAAGTTGACAATGCGGACAAGGCGAGTCAGCCATGTGTTTTTATCTAAAATATGCCAGAATTACATCGACAGATATCGATGCTTCATCCTTCATTAGAATAGTAATATCTTGTATTTCAACCTTGACTCAACGGCATAGCGAAAGAAAAGGTAAATGGGTCAGTGCCCATATCGTCTGGAAATCTGTCGATTGTAATTTTTATTAGTTTCTATTTCAGAGTCAAATGGCTTTAACCATTCTTTTTGAATAAACTTTTATCGACTAAGGGTGTCAAGCTTGGTGTTGCATAGTTGGAAAGAGCGAACTTTACCGGATCCTTCTGCATAACTCATTTGAGTCCACAGACACTTTTGCGTCTGTTTATGCGACTGTGTATTGATTTCAAGTTTTCTCCACAACTTTTTCTGGCTTTGTAATGCTAATTATACCTAATTCTAGCAGATATTCTGTTGTTATGTGTGATAAATTTTTGACATCTTGATATTGGGGTGGGTATGGCTGTGGGTGTGGATGTGGGTGTGGGGTGTGGGTGGGTGTGAGTGTGAGGGTGTGGGTGTGGGGTGTAGGTGTGGGTGGGTGTGGGTGTGGGTGTCGGTGTGAGGGTGTGGATCTGAGTGTCGGCGTGGGTGGGTGTGAGTGTGAGGGTGTGGGGTGTGGGTGTGGGTGTCTGGGTGTGGGTGTCTGGGTGGGTGTGGGTGTCTGGGTGGGTGTGGGTGGGTGTGGGTGTGGTGTGAGAGAAGTTAAAACATACACCAACACCCGACACTCACCACCACATACACACCCTCAATGATTCGGAAGCACATTTAAGGTGACAGTATGGCTGTGCTTGTGGGTGTGACTGAAGCTGTGGCTGTGGATATGAGCGTGATCAAAGGTGAAACGTACATCGACACCCGACACCCACATCCACATTGACACCCTCATTGATTTGGATGCCTATTTATTAAACACTCTTCCTTGAATAGAGGGTCATTCTATAGAATAGGTCGGTCTTCCTTACAAGACCATCCGAGACCTAAATTTCACATGTTGATTTTGATTTCGTCTGACTTTAATAAATAAAATGAATGAGTGAAGGTGGGGAAAAAAACGAAACAGACAAATTGTTTACCATAACAACAATATGATAGGTTTGAGGCGAATGAAACAACCAACGAACATAAAAGGAAAGCGACGGATAGCTTGCATATACTAACTAAAAGGAGCGACTCAAGTGAAGTTTGTCACTCGTGTCACTTTCATATCTCTATCGATCGTTTCTAATTTTCGCTGCAACTACGTGTTAAGTATTTAACATTTAAAAAAATTCATCTGTGTTTCTATTATTTCCAATCATTAACTCACCACAATCAAATAATTAAAACCCAAAAGTCTTGGACATTTTGAAAACTGTTGTTATTGATTACAATTTTTGCCAACCCTACCGGTTACTTCTTTTTTGAAGAAATGACTTGCTTCTCACTGGTGCAATATAGCAGCGTTTTCTGCTTCCTTGCTGTTTGCTTTGTCTCCCTTTTTTGATTGTTTTCAAAATTTTTTTGAAGTGTTTATTCTATTGCGAAGGACTACTCATAGCAACAGTGATACATTAATGAAACGAATGGCTGGAGAAGGATTGAAAAAATAAGCAAAAAAAAAGAAAAATTCCTAGCTGTTTATTGAGGTTCATGTTAAATAGACTAGACAAATCGATGCCTATTGCTAAGGGTGGGTGTGGGTGTGGGTGTGGGTGTGCGTGTGCGTGTGCGTGTGTGTGCGCGTGTGCGTGTGCGTGTGCGTGTAAATGTAGGTGTGGATGTGGGTGTGGGTGTGGGTGTGGGTGACTGGTGAGTGTGGATGTGGGTGGGTTTGGGTGTGAATGTAGGTGTGGATGTGGGTGGGGGTAGGGGTGGGTGTGTTTGAGTGTGAATGTAGGTGTGGATGTGGGTGGGTTTGGGTGTGAATGTAGGTGTGGGTGCACTGTAAAAAGGAAAGGTATTTTACCAAACTTTATAGGTTTCGCGCTGGGTCACGAAACTATTTTAAGTTTCGTGCGATGGGAAAGGTTTCGTAGTCTTCATACTGAACCTTTTTTAGTTCCGAAAGTCGAAGAGGGTTTCGAAGTTTTACTGCGAAACCTTCTAGAAGTTCTGCGCATACTTTACTGAACTTCCAGTGGTTTTGTATCTTTGGTACAAAAACGTTGGTAGTTTCGTAAAGAAATTAAAGGTTTTGTATTAGTTCTACGAAACCACTCATAGTTCCGTAAGTGCTCCTATAATTTCGGATGCGCCATACGAAACTACCCAGGAAGAAGTGAAACGCTGAAAATGCCGTTTAAACTGTCATAATCACCCATTCTGTTAGGAAACGGTGATAAACGGCAAGAAAAAACGTGATCATCACTTTTCTTGCCGTTTTTACGTCTAGCCAGCGTTTCCAAGCGTTATTCACATTAAATAGTCTCTGAAACGATTATATAAGTCATTTTCTTCTTCGTAAAAGATAGTGAGAAATGTTTATGATCATCTTTTCCAACGAAAACAGCTGTAAATGCTTAAAGTAGATTAATTTTTTTTTGGGACTGGTTCCCATATTATTTATATTCTCGTGAATTTGTATTTTTTATTGTTTCACAGTACGCGTGAAAGACATTTAGTCCGTTTGGAGCTTCCATTTATCTTTTGATCTGCTGAATTACTTCAAAAAAGTATTTGCTGCAGATTTAATTATGTGAAAAAGAGTTCCTTTGATTAAAGTAAGAATCCGCATAACATTGACATCACATGAATCAAAATGATGTGTTGGTGCGAACATTAGAATATCGAAAAAATACAGGTTGATTTTATTGATTTAAAGTCTCAATTTTCACATTGAAATCCTAATTTTTTGATTATGTTCAAAGCTCGAAACGTACGATAAATTATAAGTTCCTAATATTCTCAAACATAAAATTGCTGCATTAGAGTTTTCATCACAAATTATCAACTCATTAGTATATGAGCTAATTGAAACTCGTTTTATGACAAGCAATACAACATTATTAATTATGAGCTACATAATCCAATTAGAAACTCTAGCCAAGTCAAAAGAGAGTAATATTTTCAGTTAATATATATTCGACAAATGCATGTGGCATATACAGAACAGATATCATATGCTTAGTAATTGATTGTTAGTCTTAATCAAATTGGAGAGATAGGAAAGCAAAAGGAAGAAAAGAAAAATTTAAGTCAAGAAATAAAAGAAAAAATTCAGAGAAGAGGAAGGAAAAAAGAATAACGTTAGAGAAGGACAAAAGAGAAAATAAATTCGACCAGCACATTCATTCATTCATTCGATGAAGATTGCTCAATAAGTAAACATCACTTCTGCGAGCGATGTGAATGCACACAAAGATAAGATACATGAATGATATCTGAATTTAATCTAAAATACTATTCAGATTACGAAGAAATTCACATATTTACTGTATACGAATTGTGAATAAGGATTCTCATTGACCGTTGGTCGATCTTAGAAAACATGAACAAAAAGATTCAGATAACTCTAATAGAAGAAGTCTTCAGAATTGAACGATGTAGAGGTTTTAGTTTCACCTTACGTTCTGTGTTTATTTTTGCTTTTTCTTAGGATAGTATTTGTGGAAAACTTTCTTGTACATTCCATCGAGATAGTTGACAAAATACGATGTTCGTAGAAAAAATATATAGTATAGAACTTATTTGTCATTTGGTAGCACCACATTCCATAATAAAATCATTAGTGACACTAAGATATTTAACTTTTTTTTTCAACTGATTTATTAAGATCAATCAGTGTGACGTTTCGTTTTAACTAAGAACATTATCAAACACAAATAAATAGACAGAAGA